ACCAATACATAATATAAAACGTACAGACATACTAATTTAGATCTTAAATTTTTTTTTTTTAAATGATTTTTTAAAAATCAATATAGAGAACACAATATTATTGTATTAGTTAGGTACAACTTGAATTACAATAAATCATAATAATATGAAAATTACATATTTAGTTACATTTAGTATGTATATATATAAATACTATTGAATTCATGAAATACATTTAGAATCTTTAAAATAATAGAAAATTCTAATTGAAAATTGAAAATTATAAAAAAAAAAACAAAATAAATTCAAATATTGTAAATTGAATATAGATTTTAAATATGTTTGAATATATATAGGTATTATATATATGGATTGAGAATAAATATTGTGAGAGCTTGAATATCATATAAACAAGGTTTTACACATATTAACAGTATATATATAGTAGGTATATATAATTATTTTAACATTAATGTAATGAAGAAAATAAAACAAGTTTAAACAATATACTTAAATAATTACACAATGTGAAATATACATACATAAAATTGCTTTATTTTTAAAGTCAATGAATTGTAATAGAACTGTTCTAGTTAGTATTGAATATTTGTATGTAAGTATATAGAATTTAATTTTAAGTTTTAATTTTTAATTGTTTATTTGAGAAACACGTGATTATTATCAGATTTAGTTATGTTAAAATTCATGTATTTAAGAAATATATATATTTAATTAAAGCTTTTTACTAATAATATTCTTAAATAATTATTTTACATGAGCATTTCCTTGAATATATTATGCATATATGTAATTTTAATTTAAATATAAACCTGTATTTTGATAATAAATTATATACCGTGTATATATCGTGTATATACCGTATATATACCATGTATATATAGTATATATGCTGTATATACATGGTATATATGCTATATATACATGGTATGTATATATGTGTACGTGGTTTATATACATGGTATATATATATATACCATGTATATATATATATTATACTACGATATGTTATATATACCGTGTATGTAGTATAATACGAGTATGCACATTATATATTGTATTTTAGTATTGTTATGTTATATATGTATGTAGATATGTCATGCCAGGAAAAAAATTAATTGTTATTAAAACAAGGTCCGGTATGTAAAAAAAAAAAAAATACAAACACTTTTAATTTGAATGAATTTACAACTTAATCGTGTAAAATTAATTAATTAAATAATAAAAAAAAATTTTTTTTGATTTGAAAGAGTTATAATAATTTATAATTATTGTGTAATGTTATGTTTATGTTCCTGATTATCTACTTATATATTTTGAATAATTCCTTGTATAATATAGAATATTTAATCGAGATAAGTGAAATCAAATTTGTATATAATTAATTTCATTTCTATAGCACTTGTGCACTAGATAACTTAGATTATAATATGAGAAATTTTTGTTACCTCCAGTAAAATGAAAATGTTCTATATATAAGAGAAAATAAATAAGAAAATAAATAAGAAAATAATTTACAATTATTTTAAAATTTTGAAAATTTATTTTGAATTCCTCCCAGTATAACAAAAAACAATTTCGTTTCAAAGATCTCTAACATTAAGTTGTTTAATTAAAATATACGTAAGTACATGAATATTTTCTTAAATATGGATAGTATCGTCAGTATACCTAATAAACGTATTAACTGAATTGTGTTATTGGCAGTGAGTGATACATTATTATTGAAATTTTTATGTCAGAGAAACTATTAAAAATTTTCTTAAAGAATATCGCAGCATTTTTCCTTTATAATTGTACTTTATGACATAAGTAGATAGAAGATGTAACTGAGGGATGATCTACGATTATGCTTTCTGTTTGTTGAAGAAATACAATATTGACTACAGAATATGACTCAATTGAATCACAATTTAATTGCGTTACATAAAGTGATAGTATTCTATAAGTATTGTACAAAAATTGTCATATTTTCGATAAGATTTTCATTATATGTAAGGCAATTCGAATGCCATCCTATTATTTTGATATTAAAATATAATATACAAGCATACATGACTTAATTAATTACGTCACATTATTTATTAAGTCACATTTCTCACAAATATTTATAATAAGTATACGTATGAACGAAAAATTGTTTTGCGTAATTTTAATCTTAATACACATATATACAAGTAGTTACAACAAAATTTTAAATATTAAAGATAAAAATTTTTATAAAAATGAAAATGAAACGGTGTACGAATATTTTTTTATCACTATGTACACAAATATAATCTCTCTCTCCTCGCCATCTCATTTCTCTTCTAATTCTTGTGTATACTATAAGAATTGTATATGCTCTAAAATATCATGTATTTAGGTACAAAATAATTTGTTAATTTTTCAAAAATAATTTTTCATAATTTTTATTACTGAAAAAAAAAAAAATTTTTTTTTTTTCTTTTCTAAATTTTCGCGTAATTAATGAGTGTTTGTATAGTAAACGATATGACTAGAAACAAAAAATTTATTTTTAAAATATTTTTGGAATTTATTTGAGAAAAATTAAATAATTTCAAATTTTTCTTAAAGGAACAAGAAAATAAAAAATAAATAAATAAAAAATACGGAAAAATAAAAAAAAAAATTACCTATTTTTATTGCTGTACACGCAAACTTTTATGTTTAATAAACAATTTTTTTAAAAAACAAAAAAAAATTTCCTAATAGTACAAAATTGTTTAAAATAAGAATAATTTTTTTTTCTTAAATATCCAAGAAATATTTTACTATTTAATATACACGCTTTATGAATAATTATATAAATTACATACACACATATATGTTGGTATGTAAATTAATTGTATGAGGAAGCATTATTTTTTGTAAATATGTGCATTTATACATATATGCACATATGTATGTGCTCACGTCTGTATTTGTACATATTTTCGAATTTCCTGAATTTCTTAATATATTTACATATGTGTGTATAAATAGACTTTATTTTTTTTTTTCTTGATTTTCTTATTTTGGTTTTATTTAAAAAATTCAGAACAATAAAAGTATATACTTTTTAAGTCTCTAGAGTCTTATAAATATTTTGGGGAATTTTTTTCGGTTTATTTTTTTTTTTTGTTTTTGCATTATAAAAATTTATTTTATAAAATTTTTCTTTGAATATCATAATATAAAGTTGACATTTTAATGTCGCATTTCTAAAGCTATGACATTTTTTTTTTTGAAGAATATTTTCAAATTATCATAAATAATTTTTGTTTGTTTTTTGTTTTTTTATAAAATTAATAATAAATTAAAATTAGGAAATATAAAAATATCTTGAATAAATTTTACAATTATGAATTGATGATCATAAAATAAGTGTATACACACATAATAAATTTTTAAAAAGTGACAATATCTTATAGAAATGGTGCAAATGATTGCCGTATTTTCGATAAGATCATTACAAAATGTTGAAATTTTTGCATATTTTTCAAAAATTTTGGCATATCCAAAGCATTAAAATTCAAATTGTGTTCTGCTTATGCTTATTTCTGAATTACAATATAAACAGACATACATATGTATAATATGTTATACAATTTATGCAGCCACATATTATTGGTTTAATGTTGGCGCATTTAGTTCAAACATTAATTTACAAAAAACATTAAAATTAATATTTGTTATTTTAAAATTAATTGTATGACTTCAATTTTTCATAATTACATAATTATATTTTCTAAAATATTAAAATTTCCTGTTTTATAATGGCATGTTGCTCAATGTTGCTCAATATTGCTCAATGTGACTCAATATAACTATTTTCAACAATTTTATGAGTTAAATGAGCAAAGAGCATTTTTATAGTAATAAGAGAGGTTCCAAAATAACAATTGTACTGTTAAGACATTCACTTTTAATATACTTTAAGAAAAAATAAGTAGCAAATACAAAATTCTTGTATTTTTTTGCTTTCCTATTTCTGTTTTTTGTTCGTTTTTTGTTTTTTGTCAGGGATATTTTTAGAAATATCGAAAGAAAGTTTTCCTGTTGTTATTTTTCCCAACAGAAAAAAAAAAATAAAATAAATGTTTCTTGGCAAGAGAATTCAAACAGGAAAAATGATGAGAACAGAAAAAAAAAAACAAGAATTATTTCACAAAAAAAAAATTCTTTTTTTTTTTTTATCATTTTTTATATTTTTCGCATTTTTGTAAACTTGAAATTGAACTTGAAATATTTAAAATTTCTTTAATGAAAAATAGTGAAGTTGAATAAAAAATAGAGGAAAAGCAAAAACATATAAAAAAAAACAAAGTTGAACTTGAAAATAGCAAAAAATACGCTGATGAAAATGTTAAAAATCAAAAAAAAAAAAAAATTAAAACAAAACGAATGTCGTAATTAGCGTCATTTTTTTATTTAATTGCAAATTTTTTTAAAATTATTTTCAGCAATTTTTCTTTTTTTTTTTGTATTTTTGACTTATTACCGTAATAAAATTTTTAAGGAGAAATTATTTTAATGAAAATTGTGTGAATTGTTCATTTTTGCTGAATTGTTTAATTGTTAAGTGTTTGACTACGTAGAGCTTTAATAAAATTGAATTAATTTTGTTATTTAATTAAAAGAATTTTAATATTTTTATAAAAAAAGCTATAAAAGAGCACATGAGATTAACATGTAAACAGAATAATTATTGTAGAAAACAAGAATCTTTAACCAATAATATTTGTTTGCCTATAATTATACAAAATGGCTGATGCTTATTGTGGAAACAAATTTGATTTCTTAAGGTTCTCAAAGATTTGAATCAGTAGTAAAAATTAATCTAAAACAAGTACCGTATACGCACATTTTTGCACCGTAATTTATGTCTTTATAAGTCTAACTCTTCCTGCATTTTCAGACTATCATAACATATTTAACAATATCTTCCATTCGTGTCTAGTTATTCGTGAACATAAGGGATTTATATATATTTAAGAAAAAATAATTTATTTTATACTTACATGTAACGCTACGATTCCATATATTTCTTAATGGTGGTGAATTATGATAAAAATTTGGGTGTAAAAATGTACCAGGTTGAACATGTCCTTGTGGTGCCGGACAATGTGATGGCATACCCAAACGTGCTTTAATCTCTTCACTACATGGTTGGCCACCTGAACTTGAGCTATCAACATCTGATACACCAGAATCAGCTGGACTTGGTGGTAGGGAACCTTGTTTATTTTTTAGGTTTTTTTTTTTTATTATATGTTTTTCAGTTCATGAAAATGAAAAAGAGAAGATGGATGGATGAGATTAAAAACATTTTTTTCAAATATGTAATTAATATTAAAAATATTGTCAAAATATTTGATTTTTTTAATTATATTTCTCTGAGAGTACAATTCTATTCTGAAAGATTAAACATATAAGTCGGGAATAATAATATAGGTAAGGTTACGTTCGGTAGACGAGGTCACGTGATTGAACGTTACGTACTTGGGCGATTCAAGCCCATTGTGGTACCGCCGCATTTCTTCCTTTCTTCTTCATTAGAATTAACCCGAATTCCTCAGAAAATAGGCTGATAATTAAAATTATAAAATAAATAAATTACAGGGGCTGAAGATTTATATTTTAATAATTTACAAGTATTTATAATAAAAATATGCTACGTGATCAATTTTTTGATCAAACTTGCCGTAATAATTTTCAAAAATAACCCCAAAACAGTTGTAGAATCCCGCAAGACGACTTCAATAACCGTTCCGCACGGTATTTGATAATATTTCTCAGATGTTCCCTCCTATATTCTTTTAGATTAGACGAAAAATATATCAATTGAATCTACAAATTAAGTTAATCTATAAAAAAAAACTCGTTCCTATCGGTTCCGTTTTCGTTTTTTTTATTAAAAGTACAGTTATTGGTGTCAAATAATCTTCTCATTTTAACAAACAAAGAGAATTTTTTAGAGCGAAAATTTAATACTATACTTGTACTCGTACAAACAGGATTCATGACAATAAAATGGAGAAAAAATAAAAATGAAAAATGAAATTAAAAAGTAAATTGTTAAGATCTCGTATATGATCCTTTTTCCTTTTCTTTTCAATAATTCAAAATATTTTTGATTTTATTTTCAAAATAGAAATTTGTTCAGTTTTGCAACACAATAAAGATGCAAGGGTAATACATACATACATGTATGTATACGTATATTCCTTTAACAATTCTAAACAAAAAATCTCAAGAGTTTGGATTATAAACACGATTTTTTGTTGCAATAAAAAAAGAAAAAGAAAAATGCATTAAAAAAAGAATTCACATGCTGCGATTAAAATGTTTTTTTTTTTTTACATTTTGTGTTCAATTAAGGACACTAACATGTTTAACGTATATGTAAGAGAATGACAATAAGATGGATTTTTTTTTCTTGCTTTTTACTTTACAGTTTACAGGATATTAGATTTCAAAAGAAGAAGAATAATTTATAAGAATAACAGTAAATCATCATATGTGAAAATACATTGAAATTTTTTTTGCTAAAAAATCAAAGCAAGTTTTGTAAAGCAAAGAGGACGAAATTATTCGTTTTTATTGAGATTGAAGTCCTTTTTTTATTAAAATGCAATAACTTGCACTCTTTTTAATCAGGTATAGTAAATTTTATTGTATCGCGAATTTTAAGTTCATTCTATATGTGCAGTCTAGTGATATAGGAGTTAAGTTTGGAATACAGGCAAAATTTGAGGTATTCCAGTCTTAAAAAATGACCTATACAGAAGGGTTTTTGTAATTGGAATTGCTTTAGTTGTCTTCCCAATCAAAAATCAAATATTGTGTTCAAATTATAGAAATCTCAGAACAGTTTGTCAACATTTACATTTACATGGATTTTGGTTAACATTTTCATTTATAATAGCAATATTTTTATATGACAAACAATGTATTTAAGGTAATTAGCTTCGAATGTAGAAAACAAATCCCCAAGAGCTATTAGAAATTCGAATCTCGGTAGCACAATTAATGCCGTGTTTGCCTTAACAATAGATAGAAATTTAGTGTCTGCATACTAGTATCTTTATTCATCGCTCCATCTGTTTTGAAATTGGGCGAAGAAATTGCCATCTTTTGGTGGCTTTATATCCGAGTATCCGATCAATTGCAAATTTATCAAGACAAATAAACAAAAATCCTTCAACATTCCAACTTACTGATCAAAAAATAAACCTTTCCCTAAAATCATGTGTTATAAGAAAAATAATTAGCGGATATTACAGTTGCAATTCTAAAGAACTCAAAAACGGAGGGATCATAATTGAATAAAATTTTTTGTATGAATGCCTGTGTACCTCTATATATAAACATAAGCCTTCAATATTGCCAAATTAAAGATTACAAGTAGTTATAATTAATAAGAGAATACAGTAAACCTTTTTCTTGTTAAATACAGGATTAAAATTAAAAAAAAAGAACAACAGGGATCGTCTCCCACGAATTTTTTTTTTAATATTCAATAGAATAGCAATGATTTTCAGATCACAATATTTTGATTATGTTCACAGATATTTTTTTTTAAATTGTAACAAAATTGTACTTAAGATCATTTAATAAATTATTGTGGGGATAAATAAGTAAAAGGGCCATATAATGTGAAAGTTGTTTGATTCAAATTATAAGGAATATAAAAAAAAAATAAACTTAATAATCCTTCAATATACAAAATCCTTTTTAAAATCCTTAATTTTTTCATTTTTTGATAATATTATTTTAAAAGCAGATGGAATCCAATTTTGGCACATTTTATAATGCTTATATTAATGAGTGAGTGACTGAGTATGTGTGTGTATTTTGATGAAAATTGCAATTATTTTTTGTTGCATATGTTTAATAAATTTTTGCTGACACAATAAACAACTTCATTTATTTTTATATAACCATCTGCTTTGCAAAATTTAATAATTAAATTGTATAAAAAGAAAATAAAATTAAAAATTTCTTATTTAATTTGTATATATATATATATATATATATATATATATATTCTATATATATATATATATCAAGAATCTTTTGGCTTTTATCAATAAAATTTTCCTCTGTAATTCTTTGCAATTTTATGGTTGCATTTTACATAGTCGCAGAAATTTAAATTGTTTCCATTTGTCTTCGTTTGTCTGCATGTTTCTTATTGTATATACCGCATCAGAGGACATTGATATTTTGTTGGTATCTGTTATTGATTATTAAAATAATATCCAAATGCAGATATGTCATAAAAATATATTCAGGTGCATTTTAAGGGCAGAAATGAATTATGAAAAGATTATGATTTTGCAAAAAAAAAAAATTTTTTAATTTCTTTTGCAAATAAAGTAAAGTAACCCTTTTCTTTTCAAAATATTTTTTACAGAATGACTTTACATTTTAATTTTATTGGAAAATGCATCCAATTCTTAAACCTTACTTCACATCTTTCATTAAAACTCCTTGTAAATTTTTATGTTTTTCATTAATTTCAAAAATATTCATTTTTATTGATAATCGTGGGAAAAAATATTTTGCGCACCTTTCTTTTTTTTTTGTCCTTCCACATTAATTTTGTTTTTTTTTTTTACTTTTAATTTGTATGTTTGTATATTGCATTATATGGGGAGGAATTAATTGATTCCAAATATATATATTTCTGTAGTATGCACTTAATACTAATTCATGCAGGTATTTCAGAATTTTTGTTTGATTTCAATAAAAGGATCATATTAATTTGATAGAAGATTTCCGGATTTCTTTAACATATGTACAATAAAAAAAACAAGTATATTTTTAAATTTTTTAAGTGTAAAAATAAATTTTTTATAAAATGATTTAAAATGTTTTCGATATTTTTAAAATTAATGAGCCTTATAATGTGCATTGAGTGACGGAGCTCTAAATCGTATTGAACCTTTGAAATTTATATGACAGGTGAAATGATTAATCGGTGTGCGTTTTTTTTTTTATAAGAATACACAAATGTATTTGAGGAAAAAATTAGTATTTTGTTTTGTTCATTTCAATACATTATTTTTGATCTTAAGTTCAACAAATGTATGCTATTAAATTTCATATTCTTAAAATTTGTTTATCAAATTTGAATTTATTTGATTATTTGCAATGTTTGAATCAACTTTAATTATATTAATGTGCCGCACATCACTGATATAATACTAAAATTGAAATAGATTCAAAGAGTGTACATGTTTTCTATATGCCAGTATTAGTTATTATGATTTAAAGCAAATGACGCCTGAGTAGTAACAGTTATAGTTATGAGTAGTAATAGTTATGCCCGAGCAAATTTTTGCAAAAAAAAATATATAATTTTTAAAGTGGCGCCCAAGCGAGTTAATATAAAGCGGGTGATACCTGAGTGGCGCATAAAAGTCTAATACAGCAAATTATTTTTTTCAAATAGTGATGCCCGAGCGGAAGGTTGCAAAAAAAAATCTTTTAAAGTGGTGCCCGAGCGAGTGATACCTGAGTGGCGCATAACAGTCTAATTTAGCAAATTATTTTTTTCAAATAGTGATGCCCGAGCGGAAAGATTGCAAAAAAAAAATCTTCTAAAGTGGCGCCCGAGCGAGTGATACCTAAGTGGCACATAAGAGTCTAATACAGAAAATTATTTTTTTTTAAATAGTGATGCCCGAGCGGAAGGTTGAAAAAAAAAAAAACCCTTTAAAGTGGCGCCCGAGCGAGTGATACCTGAGTGGCGCATAACAGTCTAATACAGCAAATTATTTTTTTCAAATAGCGATGCCCGAGCAGAACGTTGCAAAAAAATATATAATTTTTAAAGTGGCGCCCGAGCAGTAACTAGTTCGATAATTAAACATTCCTAAAAGAAAGTTATTCTTTCAAATGCGCCTGAATGGCACTCAACGTTCATGAACTAAAATAACTTTTTTAAGTAAGTGGCGCCTGAACAGTACCTAGTATTCAAAAACAATTTTATTGTTATACAAATTTCCAAACTTTCTTAACAACAAAAATTTCAAGTACAAGAAAAAATTAATTAAATTTTATATGGGTCAGCGAATCTGTTACTTCTGTTTTCAAAATGAAGATTTTTTTTTTCATTAAAAGAATACCTTTGAAAAAAAAAAAAATCCTTTCATTACATATGTGTTCGAAAAACAAGAAAAAATTTGAAAACAAAGCAGATGTTTTTTGTGATCAATTTTTAAATCCT